CTCTATCTCATTGTCTCTCTCAAATAAATAAATAAAATCTTTAAAAAAAATACATAGGATTTTACAGGTCATGATAAGAGGTAGCACTTTAGAACTTACAAGCAGCTTTGTGGTAGATTAACACCATCTGATGACAAAGAAAATGCATTTTGAGAAGGGGCACAAAGGTGGGAACAACAGCCCAAAGAAAAGGCCGAGGGTATGGGGTATCAGGAGACAAGGTGAGGCCTGTGCACAATGCTGAACACAGGCTGGGGCCAAGTAATGAGTTCTGGATGGCCTGTAAGGGAACTTTAACTTCACTACAGGCTGCAGGACGCATCAACGATTTCCTATCAAGGGTCAATAGGATCAGAAATGCAAAATAGGATTGTGACTAAGGCGTGGAGGAATTATCTGGGAAGAGAGTGAAGAGATTTGTGGGTCAGGTAGAATAAATGCCGAGTAATGAGAAGAGAAGTCAAGGTATGATGAATCCTGTAAGAAAAAAAAGCACAAGGGTAACAGGAAGAAGCGAGGCATTGATGCAGGAAGGAGTAATCAGAGGAGTTAAGTGTTGTAGCAGGTAAACGACCATCTGAACTGCATGGAACAAACAACACTCCTCTGTAGGAGTGTTGTAGGCATACAAGCATATGAAGAGATGCTCCACATCATATGTCATCGGGGAAATGTGAATTAAAACAAAGAGATACCACTACACACCTACTAGAATGGCCCAAATCCAGAACACTGATGACACCAAGTGCTGGTGAGGAAGTGGACCACAGAAGCTGTCACTCACTGCTGGTGGGAATGCAAATGAGTACGGCCACTTTGGAAGGCAGTTTGCCAGTTTTGTACAAAACTGAACATCCCCTGGGGCGCCTGGGTGGCTCAGTCGATTGAGCATCCGATTCTTGACTTTGGCTCAGGTCATGATCTCGGGGTCGTGAGATGGAGCCCTGAGCCAGACTCCATGCTGAGCGTAGATCCTGCTTGAGATACTCTCTCTTGGGACGCCTGGGTGGCTCAGACGGTCGGGCATCTGCCTTTGGCTCAGGTCGTGATCTCCAGGTCCTGGGATTGAGTCCCGCATTGGGCTCCCAGCTCAGTGGGGAGTCTGCTTCTCCCTCTCCCTCTGCCTCTCCCCCGGCTTGTGCTCTGTCTCTCTCACTCTCTCAAATGAATAAATAAAAAAATCTTTAAAAAAAAAAAAAAAAAGATGCTCTCTCCCTCTCCCTGCCCCAACTCATGTACTTGCTCTCTCTCTCAAAAAAAAAAAAAAAAAAAAAAATCCTTAAAAACAACAACAGTAATAACAACAAAAAAACCCTAAATATACTCTTACTATACAATCCAGCACTTGGGCTCCTTGGTATTTACCCAAAGGAGCAAAAAACATAGGTTCACACAAAAGCCTGCACATGGATGTTTACAGCAGCTTTATTCACACTGCCCAAACCTGGAAGTAAGCAAGCTGTCCTTTAGGACGTGAACTGATAAACTGTACACATCCAGACAATGGACTATTATTGAGCACTAAAAAGAAACAGGCTATAAGCCATGAAAAGACATGAAGGAAACTTAAATGCGTATTACTAAGTGAAAGAACCTCACCTGAAAAAGCCTACATACTGTAGGATTCCAACTATTTGACATTCTAGGAAAAGTAAAACTATGAATACAATTAATAAAGATCAGTGGTTGCCAGGGCTGAGGGGGGGGGGGCAGGGAAGGGATGAACAGGTGGAGCATAGAGGATTTTTAGTGAAAATACCCTGTATGATATCATAATCATAGATACACGTCATTATGCATTTGTCCTAACCCATAGAATGTATAAGACCAAGAGTGAGCTGAGCCCTAACTGTAAAGTAGGGATTTGGGAGGATAATGTGTCAGCCTTAACAAATGTTCCACTCTGGTAGGAGCTGCTGATATTGGGGGAGGCTACGCATGTGGGAGCAGGAGGGGATGATGGGAGCTCTCTGTACCTTCTTCTGCTCAATTTTGCTGTAAACCTAAAACTACTTTTTTAAAAAAAAGTACTGAATAAATTTTTTAAAAAAATCCAAGAAAGGGAATGAAGGTAATCAAGTGGTACTCAGATAGAACATAATTATAACAGGCAAAATGGGAAACAAAGAAATGGAAGAAGGTACAGAGGGATGTTGAAGTAGAGAAAATTTGTTAATTTACTCAACAAACACGTACGAGCACCTACTAACTCCCAGGTACCATGATGTAGCAATTTATGACAAAGGACTGTGAAGGGGTCATCTGTGGAGCATGAAGGAGAGTGATGCTAGAAACCAAGGAGAATGAAGGTGGCTTGGATCAGCTGCTATGTGGAAGGTGATAGGTCAACAAATCGTGATAATTCGGCAAATCTACTAACACGAAGATCCTAACTGATGTTACAGCATGAATAAGAATGGAATTAACTGATAGGGTCATGTACATGATACATCAACCTTACAAAACTCAGAAACAATTAGAAGGAGAAATTACTTTTTCCCAAATACAAAAGACTGACAAAAATACGGTGAGAAAATGGGAAGGGTATCAACAAGTCTAGGATATTCAAATGAATATGTAAAAATAGTTATCCACTGGGTCTACCCAGGTTAGAAAGGACCCTCCCTCCCAGTCCAAAAAAAAAAAAAAAAAAAAAAGAGAGAAGAGAAGAAAAGAAAAAGAGGATGGTGGGGGGGCACCTGGGTGGCTCAGAGGGTTGAGCATCTGACCTGTTTTCTGCTCAGGTCATGATCTCAGGGTTGTGGGATCGAGCTTCACACACGGGGGCGGGGGGCGGGGGAGTCTGCTTGAAGATTCTCTCCCTCTCCCTCTGCCCCTCCTCCCACTTGTGTGTGCAACCGTTCTCTCTCAAATAAATAAATAAATCTTTTCTTAAAAACGTAGGTTTTATAAGACATTAAAAAATGTTTTAACTGGGAAAGAAAGAAGGCCTGGCAAAAGCCCAACACTCTCAGGATACAGTAAAAATACCCATTTTTAATTGTAACAGTCCCTGCTATATGAATGGCCACAAATGGTGGGTCACCAACCTTGAGACAGGGTCATAAGTACACAGCTAAGTCTAATTTTAACAGCAGTCATGGAGCTCTCTTGGTTTACTCACCATGATCTGGGTTGTTTATTAAGTACAGAGTCAACGCAATGATGGGAAATGAGCAAGTATCTAACAGACTATGACCAAAGGAAATGGTTGTCCAACTTTAAATTCCCTTTTTAACACTGGTTGCGCTGCCATAACGTAGTAAGAGCCCTGATGACAAGATTTTTTCAAGAACTTATTCTGAAACTTTTAAATCTAGATATGACTGAGGAAAAAATATGCAAAAACTATCATAAACGCCGTAAGAACTAGGCAATTCTCCAACGTTTAGACAAAGCAGCAATTAAACCCAAACCAATGGACATTTCTACACCTGGCTCATGGAATACAGGTGAGGGACCAGCCACGGCCCAGAACACAATCAATCAATCCCATGGAAAAAAGCTCGGATGCTTTCCCACTGGCAAAACCTGCTCTCCACCGAACTTTCAACTTTTATGGAGAGAAATACTGTGAAGCATACAGTTCACTTTCCCCTTATTTCTTCTCTTGTTCTTCGTAATTCACTTAGTTGTTTGTTTAACTTTATGTCCTGCTACACTGAATACAATTTTTCTAAATCTAGCAAAGAGGGAACACAAAAAAGCTTAACTAACAAAAAAGTTATGGTAAAATTGGACAATAGCCACCAGAGAGAAGCCTGACACTATTAACTGATAAGAAACAGCAAATTAGGGGGGGTGCCTGGGTGGCTCAATCGGTTAAACGTGTGACTCTTGGTTTCAGCTCAGGTCATGATCTCAGGGAGTCTACTTGAGATTCTCTCTCCCTCTCCCTCTGCCCCTCCCGCCCCAACTCCCTCTCTCTCAAATAAATAAATAAATCTTTTTTAAAGAAGAATATATATTTGTAAAATATACAATATATATTTGTAAAATGTAGTTGTTTTGTAAAATTATTTTTGAAAATTCTAAAAAATACATTGTAAAAAAATAACTGACTCTGTAAGTCAGAAAACTTTATAGTAATAACCATAAGTCTTAACAGAGCATACTTAATGTTCTTTTGGAAAATCTGTGACACCAGGAAACATTTGAAGGGATCCTGGAGGAAAAGCAGAAGTGAGATCATCACCACCACTGGGGGATGACAGAGCATGAAACTGAAGATGGAACCAGATGGTTTTTCTAACCCCCAAATTCTAGTTTTTTAATTTTATGGCTTGAATATAGATGTTTGCTTTTAATAAAAAAAAAATAATCTAGAAGTTATGGGATTAAGATCTCAAAGAAAAAGAGGTGAAAATATAATTCTGAACTATCATGAAACCAGAGATGGTTAACGAATTTCAAGCAAACACTTATGAATGCCTCTGACTTCATTCACAAAGGCAGAGATGATTAAAGGCCAAAAAACCCACAAAGACAAACAAAAACCCAAAACCAATCTTTCTTAACAAAAATTTCAGATTTTACTGACTGATGAAATAATCCCAAAATCTTGTTTAAGAGAAATTTCTAAATTATAGACCAAAACAGAAGTCCAGTCACTCACTCAGATTTCAATTCTTTCAGAACTACATCTTACACTACCAGTGGAATTTTCATCCCAACTTTGGAGATGAAAATGAAATATTTAAAATTAACTCAGTGATGGTTGATTAGATTAAAATTACACAGCTGGCCGTAACCATAACAGGAGTTCATGGTTAGATTTTTTTTTTCCTCATAAAAGCAAACTCTTGACAGGAGTGGGCAGAGATCCCTTTAGTGAGAAATGGAAAGACACGTCTGTAGAAGAAACAAAACTATATACTAGATGTTCTGGCATCTACGAGATGTTCTGGCATCTACGAGAATTTGCACTTGTTGGGAACAAGGAGGGCGTCACTTACAAAGTCGCCAACTGCAAGAAAGGGAAAACACAAAGGCCGCCTTACCTCCCATCTGCATAGTCTGTATCTGCTCCACCCCACCAGACATCTGAGTCGTCCTCCTCTGCATCCGCTGAGTCAACGTTGTCGCTTTCCTCAGCCAGCGGGCAGCATACAAACTCTACCCCTCGGAACTTGTCAATTCCACAAGGCAGCAACATGCCATAGTCGTGCAAATTGGTACTCTTCTCACTACAGGTCTACAGAAGGTAAGGAGAACACAGTGAGGGCGGGTAGAGTAAGAAAATCCCAAGTATAATCTTCAACACAGAGACCCAATATATCAAGAACCAATTTCACAATGGAAAGGGCCATTTGCTGTTCTGAGTGGATTTACAAGTTTCTTTAGCACAGACTACTTTGGTACCCTTATTTTTTAACTATAGAGACATGTTGTTATACTACAGAAATTAGTAAAAACAACCGGAATGGAAACTCTTTAGGAAAGAGGATATGGAAGAAGCCTGCAGTGCGAATGGATATCAGAGAACCAATGTTCTGTGGTATCATTAGTGCATCAGGTAGACATGATGGATCCATGTACATCCCCAGCTCACTTCCACCTCCACTATACATGGAAGTTTCTCTCATGTGGACATATCTTATTCTAGAAATTCAGACTCTCTTGGCTCACTTCCAGAATAACAATCCTGGGAAGAAAAGAAATTATCCTCTGCTATGAATCAAAACTTAAGAGTCTAAATTAGAGATTTCTCCACCAACATCTTTTTGCTTTCCTGGGATTTGCTAAATTTGCACAAATCGAGATTAACATAAAGCTTTGAAGGCATCCACTGGTGACAGAGGAAATATTAATAATTCAACACATATGGATAAAGAATGAAAATATTACAGACTGTATTTTGACCTCACAGGAATTAAAGTCATTTTTGTTTCTTAGTAACAAAAAAAATTTTTTTTTTAAACTCAGAACAAATGAAAATGAAGTTATCAGATGGGTAACCGAACTTCAAATTACCTGGTTTGCTTTCTTAAGATCCAAAAAGCTCTTAAACCTCCAAAACACATTTTTCTATAAAGAAAATTTTGTTTTACAGTAAATTGGAACATACTATTTTATAGAAGGCAAAATTAATGCTAATTCTCAAGTGGTGTTTTTTGCCTAACAACTTCAAAGCTATCGGAGCTGGATCAGGGTTTCTCACCCTCAGTACTATTGATATTTTGGGTCAGATAACTCTTGGAAGAGAGACAGAGGCGAGGCTGTCCTGTTCACTGAGGAACGTTTAGTAGAACCTCTGACCTCTAGCCCTCAAATGCCAGTAATACCACCCCCTCCAACTGTGACAACCAAAACTGTCTCCAGACGCTGGCTCATGTACCTGAAGAGGGATGAGGGAACAAAATTGACCCCATTTGAGAACCACTGAGCTAGGCAAAGGAGCCTAATTCTAGGAGACCGATCTTCCACAAAAATTATATACACTTAGTAGAAAAATTTCACAATATATCAAAGGGACAAAGCGGTTTTGAAGATGACAGTAAGTTACATTTTATGCTGATTATGTTATTTATCCACTTTTGCCAAAAGCAGGGGTCAACAAAGGTTAGGAATGGTGCCACAAAGATTCAACCACTATGGGAAAACGAAGGTGGTGGCATGGCGCGGTGAACACAAAATTGGATGGTGTATCCATTTAGATGGACTGGGGAATGCTGTGGTAGAACTGAAAGTAGCTTGTCCAATACCAACAGTTTCTAACTTCCTGTTCTACCACTGCATTCTCCAACAGATGATAGGAGAAAAGGTCAAATTATAAAAACTTGGTATACGACAAAAGAAAACAAGAGGTAAATAAAAAATAATTTGGGGAACAAAGATACATTTTAAGGTTTATGGCAAGTATAAGATTATAGTGTCTAGTTTATAAAGCACATTAGGCACAGACACATAATAAATCTAACTAAATCTGTTTCTGATTCGTAAAAATTACTCGTGGGAAGTTTTTTCTTTTTTAAGTAAGAAATATAACTTATTCCTCAACACAGCTATGGCCTGAAAATATCTTCTAAGATGGCATGACCCATGTCCCAAGGAAATCTTCACTGTAGAAGGGGGAAGAACGCATGAGCTGGTACCTCTTTGGCGACGGTGTGCCAATGAAGGTGGGTTTCACACACATCCATCCTCTCCTGATGTAGGAATTTGCACTTGTCGGGAACAAGGAGGGCGTCACTTACAAACTCGCCAACTGCAAGAAAGGGAAAATGCTTCACGTCATTCCATCTGCGTCACAGGGCTCTTGTCCCCGGGTCCTTATCAAGGAAAGATGGGCTAAAAGACTTCAGAAGGTATACAGCTTTTTGAATGACCAAGTAATCAATCCAAGAAAGGCTGGTACCATTCGAATGTTGGGTCCTATGTCCTGAGCTCGGTTCCTTGCCACATCAACCTTGATGGTTAAATACTTCGCCCATGTGTTAAGTGAAATCTATTTGATTACTATGAAGCTCTGACTGCAAAGTTAATCATACAGAGAGCTGCCATTCAACTGCAACAAGGGGAAAAAATGCAGAATAACACGAGGCAATCATTTGAGCGGAAACAATATAAGTAACTGGCCATCCCTCCTTCTTGGACATTTCATCTGTTTGTAAGCTAACAGAAAATGTAGCATTTTTCTACTTGCTAAACAAACAAAATCTATGTATGTACAAACGGTTACATATGTGACACACACACGCGTTTAATTCAATTAAATTATGAACACCGCTCCTTAGATTTTTGTTGTAGTTTTAAAGAAAATGTATATCATGCAAATTCCTTCTAGCATAACTGGTACTGCAGACAGAAAGATATTACATAAAGTCCTACAAGAACGCTTACATTCTTATGAGGATAAAAGTTTGGATAATTACAGAATGTAAGCTATGAGCTTAATTTTTATTTGTTTTGTTCACTACAGTTACCCTAGCTTTTAGCATAGATTCTGCACATAGGAGGCAACAGATGTCCTGATGAATGAAGACATTCAATGCTGTTATAGAGGGGCGCCTGGGTGGCTCAGTCGGTTAAGTGTCTGTCTTCCGCTCAGGTCATGGTCCCAGGGTCCTGGGATCGAGCCCCCCGTCAGGCTCCCCGCTCCGCGGGAAGTCTGCTTCTCCCTCTCCCTCTGCCCCTCCGCCCACTTGAGCTCTTTCACTCACGCACTCTCTCTCAAATGAGTAAAATCTTAAAAAATAAAATAAATGCTGTAATAGTGATGAAGACGGTGCTGAGGCTACAAAGTGAACATATCCACTTAGGTACGCCGGGAAAGAACTCAAAGTAGAAACAACAACACAAATGAATCTACAGGGATGAGGAGGGGTAGGCCGTGTAGAAAATGAATGGAAGCTCCAAGATGTAAGGACAGCATCTGTCTTAACATCCCACTCCTGATCCCTGGCCCAGTTCTGGCAAACGTGACCATCCTGGATAGACGGATGGATGAATGGCAAAAGGCAGTTCAAAATGAGGGCACATCCTGTGTAAAAGAGAGGAAAAAGAAAGGGCGAGGCATATTTGTAGAGGAGGCGAAAGTCCAACGTGGCTGGAACACCAGGTAAGTGCAGAAGTAAATGAGACTGGAGGAAATGCTGGACTCCTAACTGTAGGATCCAAAGTTCTAGATACCACTTTGGAGGCAACATAAGCCAAAAGATACTTGAAACAGGAATGACATGCTCAAGTTTGTTTTTCAAATAAACTCTAATCAAGTTTGCTTGGGAGACCGCTGAGTAGGGCGCTGCCGTCCTTCAGGCAAGACAGGCAAGAACAGATTTAAACCAACGACCCCAAATAAGGAGGGAATACAAGCTCTCCACACTCCAGCAAGGAACGATTTTTTTTTTTCTTTCACAGCAGGTTAACACCACATTTTCTGAAAAGGAGCATAAAGAGTGATGAAGACCTTGAGAGGGGGAAGGAAAAAACCCTTTTCTATTCCCGTTACAGAAAAGGGTTCTTTTAAACTTCGTGTCCATATAAGGGCGTTTAAACTTGAGTCTGTTTCTAGCTCAAACACGCAAGATGCCTCATGATATTTAAGGACTTATTTTAATAAATAGTATTTAGATAAAAACCTAAGCGAATCACAGGGGATGAAGAGCCCTTCATCTTGTCATTCCTTAAATCTTTAAGACAAGGTGTGATGCCCGCAGCATGGGACTGTGAGTCACAGAGAATGCAGGAATTATGAGATGTGAGGCCCTCAGAAGGCTGCTTGTGGGAAAGGAACCCACGAGTCCTAGAAGCCTACGGCATGGCAGTGGCACCTCAAGGGCAACACTGCACCTCAGCTCCACAACAGCTGTGTGACCGACCTCTTACAGTATCAACCTCACTTCCCAGCGGAGGAATGCCTGCCAAGAAACGTGTCTACGGCCACCTGCCCTCAGCAGATAATAACCTCGCCCCAGAGATGAACATTAAGATACACAGTTTAGGGAAAGAAAGAATAATGCAAGTGACGTCACATTTCCCCCCCTTTTACTTTGACACAGAATACTAGCAAACAAACCACAACCACCAAACTAAATCCCACATGAGATGGAGAATGGAAAATAAAAGTAATCTTATCCAAAGCCTATACACCTTCCCCAGCGGGACTCTTCATGGTTTCTCAGGACAGGCAATCAACTGCAGCTGGTTGCTGGAGTGGTGGGGGGTGGGAGGGACGGGGTGGCTGGGTGATGGACACTGGGGAGGGTATGTGCTATGGTGAGCGCGTGAATTGTGTAAGACTCATGAATCACAGATCTGTACCCCTGAAACAAACAAATTGTTAAAAAAAAAAAGATAGCAGGAAGGGAAAAATGAAGGAGGGGAATCGGTGGGGGAGACGAACCATGAGAGACTATGGACTCTGAGAAACAAACCTAGGGTTCTAGGGGGAGGGGGTGGGGGGATGGGTTAGCCTGGTGATGGTTATTAAAGAGGGCATGTACTGCATGGAGCACTGGGTGTTATACGCAAACAATGAATCATGGAACACTACATCAAAAACTAATGATGTAATGTATGGTGATTAACATAATAAAATAAAATTTTAAAAAAACAGAAAAACAAACAAACGAACAAAAAGAATACTTGATACCTCAGTGTCCTGATTTTCCAGGCCACACAAGAGGCCGGAAGTGATCAGAAGCTTGAAAATGGCTGCTTCATTTATGGGCTCTGGTCAGTCAAATCATAATGCCGTACTTACAAATGTCTGACACACTAAGTGATTTTTTTTAAGTTTACAATTATTGGAAAGATTAAATGGCTGGCCCAAGGCTATTAAATCAGTTCATGAGACCATCAGGAGCAGGTATCAGAGACTCTCAACCTTGACCTTGCAGCATAAACTGGCTAACAGCTGACAAACAACAGTGACGGGAACTGGGGAGGGCACGTTCTGCACGGAGCACTGGGTGTTATACGCAAACAATCAATCATGGGACACTACATGAAAAACTAATGATGTAATGTATAGTGATTAGCATAATAAAATAAAATTAAAAAAAAATCTGATACACCAGGTGACATATGGGAACTCTCTGTACTCTCTCCACTCAGTGTTGCTGTGAATCTAAAATTGCTTTAGAAAATAGTTTTTTAATTAAAAACAAAAAACCTAACAGTATGTACTTGGAGTTTCCTTATAAAACTATGTATGCTTTTATTTTTAAAATAAACCTTCTGGTTTCTTTGGTCTGATCCTTCAGGTAAAACACACACACACACTCACACATGCGCAATTTTTAACAGAATTCAGGTGAAAGAGATCAAAATGAATTAGGTACCATAATGAGAAATCCTGTTCCTGTTTATGCTGACCTCTGGGACATTTGGCACCTTTAATCCTAGTGGATAAATTCATCAATATATACTGTGCAAGTTTATCGATAAGCATACCACCTGGTCTCTTATTTAAAAAAAAATCACAATTTGTATCTCACACACACACACACACACACACACACACTCCAACTGAAAGGGGATTTTCAAAGCTAATGAACAAGATCTCGGTTTGGCCAAAAAATCTTGGCAAGATGAATAATGCTGTCCAGTTCAATTGGGACTCTGCAGGCCTTAATCCACTGGCTCTTTGGTGGTCTTTGAGAGGATTATGTAGCTCAAATTACCTCATTTTGCAGATAGGAGGCAAAGAACCCAGGTCAAGTGGCTTGCCCATAGAGCCAACTGGCGGTGGACATGGTCTAAAAATTTGGGTTCTCCATCCAAGAGTGGTAACTCAACTCACTGTCATTTAAACTCTGGTGGAAATTAGTTATTTGCCAAATTCCCTTTGGCTTTTACCAAAGGAGATTCACTGTTAGACTACAAAATGCTTAAACGTTATCATGTATCATGCAGTCTATCTGACAATAACACTAGGTTTAAATTACCTAGCAAGCCATATAAAATAGCTGGGAATGCACTGTATGGCATAGAACAGGACGCACTTAAGAGACCTGATGGGGTGCTTTCTCTCACATGCCAAGTGTGGTCCGGAGGCCGAGGCTGGTGCAGGTTTTCAATACCACCCTCACGGTCCAGGCTATCCCAATCTTTCTGTACTGCTGTCCTTAGCATGGCTTTTGTTTTCATGTTCCGTGGTCGAAAATGGTCACAGTTGCATGCAGGAAACAGGAGGAACAGGCCAAAGCATGATGGTTTTCTGTCTGGGGTTTTTTTTTTTTTTTTGCCCTCACATAACTTTGCTGTTTCCCACGCATGGACTCCCTCCCTGTTTTCTACATCTCTATGCCATGATTATGTCATCTGGCCGCAGTCAGCTGCAAGGGAATCTGTGAGAGTATTTTCAGCTGAGCACATTGTCACTGTGAACAAAAAAAAAATCTGGGCGTCTTTTACAAAGGAAGAAGTGGAAATAAATATCAAGTAGGCAAGTAGCAGAGTCTCCAATATCATGGAATTAAAATACAGGAATGTAGTTTTCCATTTCTTTACACTGCCTTTTCAAAAGACAGATAATTCCAGGAAGAAGACAGAAGTGAATATGAAGTGCTACAACTAAAACCACCAAATCTCTGAATTCATGGCCCAGGGAGAAATTCGGGGGGGGGGGGGGTGTGCAGGTTGTCAGAGCAAAGAGCAAAATCGTGCACAGCTGAGACTGCTCAAGTGTTCAGAGTCAGAGTGGGATTGCACAGATTGATTACAAGATTCCAGAGCCATACATAAGAACTTCAAGGTACAGAG